CTACTGGACAACACCCCACCTTCCACTGCACAACACCCCACCTTCCACTGCATAACACTCCACCTTCCACTGTACAACACCCCACCTTCCACTGCATAACACTCCACCTTCCACTGCACAACACCCCACCTTCCACTGCACAACACCCCATCTTCCACTGCATAACACTCCACCTTCCACTGCACAACACCCCACCTTCCACTGCATAACACCCCACCTTCCAGTGAACAACACTTCACCTTCCAGTGCACAATTGGTTTATATTTCAATTTCACTATTATATTAATTTTGTTCACTTATTTTAGGTTTTATTTATGACTATGAGTGTATACCATATACCACATATGTGGGGTGCTTCAGGGGCTAGAAGAGGGCATCAAATTACCGGGAGCTAGAGGCATAGACACGCAGTTGTGAACTGCCTGACATGGAATGGATGCTGAGAACCGAACTCAGGTCCACTGGAAGAGCAGGCCACTGGGCCCTCTCCTCAGGCTCGCGTTAGTAGATTCAGTGGCAGTTGTGTAGATAGGCTAGATGGATAGATAAAAAAGGAGATGAGGGGTGGAATTGGAAGGCTCCCAAGTGGTCATTTCATCCATCCTCCTGCTCCCAAACAGCAGGCAGTCTTGCAGACTAATCTACCATCATTCCTCAGAAATACACCCTCTGCCCCCTGACAGGAGCCTTTGCTAGCCTCTGAGAAGAAGCACAGGTATCGGACCGCACAACTTAAAAAATTTGGGGGGCTGGAGAGATGGCTGAGTGGTTAAGAGCACTGACTGCTCTTCCAGAGGTCCTGAGTTCAATTCCCAGCAACCACATGGTGGCTCACAACCATCTGTAATGGGATCTGATGCCCTTTTCTGGTGTGTCTGAAGAGAGAGAGCTAGAGTATATTCACATACATAAAATAAATAAATAAATCTTTTAAAAAAAAATTTGGTTAATGGGCTACAGGAAGTGGGACAGACTGGAGCAGGTGTGGTCAGGTTTGCCACAACAAGGAGGTCCTGCAAGCATGAAGCTGGGGAAACAAGAACATGGACTCAGTATCTGAAGAGACCAGTCTCAACCCGAGGCTCAGCCATCTCTCCTTGAATCCCGTCAGGCCTCCTCAAGCAGGAGTAATGCCACACATCTGTAAGACCAGCTTGAGGGTAGGAGAAGCTGGAAGATTAACAATTCAGGGTCATTTTCAGCTACATAGCTGGAGGCTAGCCTGGGCTATATGAGACCCTGTCTCAAAAAGAGGAAAGTACTGAGTTCAGTGTTTAGGTGATTGCTGAGCAGGCGCCCTGGAATGCATATAAATTCTGAGTAGGCGTGGTGGCCTCTATCTGATTCCAGCCTTGGAAGGTGGAGATGGGAGTCCTAGAACTCGCCACACTGGGGAGTTGTGCATTTTTAGATTCTGCCTCACTGAGTAACAAGGAGGGGTGTTCAAGATGAGTCCCAGCATTCACCTTGTGCCTACGTGTACACCTACACACATGCAGAACATCCTCTCACACACAGAGAAAGAAAAATAGAAAAGGCCTCATCCCATTCAGAGGACCACCCTCCCTCCTGCTGTCATACTCAGTTTTGTATGGTTGATTCTTTTGCTCTCCTAGCCACCAAGGAAGAACTGCCACAGGAGACGCCTGCTATCAACCAGACCCTGGCAGAGGTGATCACCGAGCAAGCCAACCTCAGTGTTAGCGCTGCCCACTCTTCCAAAGTTCTCTATGTCATCACCTCCAGTCCCAGCCGCCCGCCGCAGACCGCCCCAGGTAGCCATTCCTGGGCACCATCAGTTGGGGCCAGCGGCCACAGAGTGGAAGGTAGTTCTTTTAACACTTACGGAAACAAAGGTGCTTGTGGGTGCTTCCCCTTCAGACACAGGGTGGGATATTGGCCCTGCAACCTCTAGTCTGCACGGCCTTTGAGAGAAATGCTTTCCTTAGCTTAGCTCCCCTAAAAAGATAGCTTCTGTGTGCCTTCGGTAACTGCGATTAGCAGCTAAGATGGTCTCTTCATAAAAAAACCATCTTGTGAAAGCATCTTTCTAGAGCCCTGAGGTAAAGCTCTTCAAATCCGAGGACTCAGGAGGTGTATACAGGGCTGGAGGTCGGCTCAGTGATAAAACATGCACCAGTGGGGGGGGGGGGGGGAGGGGGGAGTGATACTAAAGATACAGAATTCCTTCTGAGGTGCCATGTACTGTACTAAACAATGGGCCATACACTGAGCCAGACAAAGCCCTGCCCCTCTCTTGTCCGGACACACAAGCCCGCTCTCCAAGTGTGGGCAGCATACGGCCAGACACTGCTCCACTTCTGCAGAGTGCAGTGCACACAGATGTGAGGACAATACTGTGCATGTTTCCTGTGGGTTACCAGTGGGGGAGGGGAAGGACTGCCAGGGGTGCCGAGAGCTTTGAAGAGAAGCCCTGCAGGGGAGACCACTGGCCATTGTCTGCTCTGGCTACGCTAGTGTAGTTTCCTGGTTTTCCGCTGAGGACGCGTCCCTGAGTGGGCTGGTACACTGAGGACTGCCGTCTGTCATTTGGTCTAGAAGACTTCACCACAGAAGGCTGGGGAGAGAGACCTCCAGCCCCACATTGTTTGGCTGTGGATTCCAGTAGTGTTTTACACATCTGGCTTCCCGCTGCTCAGATGAGAAAACTGGGACTGTAAGATTTCTAAGTCACTCACTGCTCAGTTCCAGTGGCAGACAAATTTACCGAGCCCCTTTGAGCCCTAACTCTAGTGTCCAGGTTTTACCAGAGGGAGTTTCAAAACAAACAAGGCAAGGTCATATGAAAGCTCCATGCTCACCCCAGCCCTGAGTTGCTCCTGCTGCCAGGTTTGCTGGCTGCTCCCACCTGCAGGACCCCCAGAGCCACTTCTGCCCCTGAGCTGCCAGTCTCCTTTGGAAAGTGAAGACAAATCTGGTGAACTGTGCTTTGCACTTGCAGGATGGACCGTTTACGGCCTGGCGACCCTCCTCATCCTCACGGTCACAGCCGTTGTAGCGAAGATCCTTCTGCACGTCACATTTAAGTGAGTAGAAGTGCAGGCAGAGCTCAGTGTCTTTCTTCTGTTGCTTCTTCATCTGTCTGGGGACAGTTTGACATCAGAACAGGATACCAGAGGCCGAGTCCTTGGCAGCACAAGGCAGAGAACACTGCTTCTCCTCCCAAGAGAGACAGGTGACAGGACCAGTCACACTGAGGTTGAAGGATGCTGTGTCCAGTAGACTCGGTTTCAGCAAGGGTTGAAACCATCCTGGTATAGGAAACAGCAATTACCTGTTTGGGGGCTTGTCTGATCCCCCAAACAGGTGTATTGAGAGGTGTATTTAAGAGTCCAGCTTCCTAGGACAGTACCATGCATCTTCTTTTCTCCCTCCCTCCCCCCCTCCCTCCCCCCCTCCCTCCCTCCTTTCCTATCCTTTCCTTTCCTTTCCTTTCCTTTCCTTTCTTTCTATCTTTGTTTTTTTGTTGTTGTTGTTGTTTTGTTTTGTTTTTTTCGAGAGAGGGTTTCTCTGTGTGTAGCCTTGACTGTCCTACAACTCACTCTGTAGACCAGGCTGGTCCAGAACTCTTAGAGATCCACTGGCATCTGCCTCCTGAATGCTGGGATTAAAGGCATGTGCCATGACCACCTGGGCCATGCGTTTTTCTTAATGCCTCTAGAAAACAAGGAAATCTTACAAAGATAATTTCAACATTTCAATTAGTGCTTAGAAATTTCATCAATTTATTTTTCATAGTTCCGTATGTATACATAGTGTATTCTGGTCACAGTCACCCCATGCATCTCTTCTCCCCTCCTGTTCCTGTCACCCCCACCAGGCTGCCATCCCACTCCCATGTCTTTCTGTCTTGCTTTTGTTTTTACTTTGTGGCCCACTGCACTTAGCCAGGGCTGCCCACATGGACATGGGTGTGAAGCTGTTCACTGGAGCGTGAGCAGCTCACCACTGACTACACCCCTGAAGACAATGGCTTCCTCTGCTCCAATAGCCCTTGACTGCCATTAGCTCCCCTGGGTGAGGCTGTGGCCCACGAGCCCCTCCTCCACCTGTGACTAAATGTTTGGAATCATTCAGTCTTACACAGATCCTATGTGGCAGCCACAGTTGCCACGAATTCCTGAGTGCCAACGCCATGTCGAACTCACGGGCCAACATTTCCCCTCGCCTGGCCCTCGTGTCCTGCACTTTGGAGGGGTGAGAGCTGTGTCCGTTTTAAGGCTGAGCTTGTAGCAGTCACGTGTTCTCAGCACTTGCCCAACCATGGACTCTGCAGTAATGGCTGTTTGCTGTGGAGACCTTGGTTAGTGCAGCACTGACACCTGAGCTCTTGCTTCACTCAGTACTGCTTGATGCCCAGGACCCCGTGGGCTTGCACGTGCCCAGGCCTTCTTTCATTCCTGGGCCATAGCTCCCTGTGCCCTCTGTTAGTGTCTGAGGCTGTTGGCCTGTGTATGCCCAAACTGTTTTATCCCCAGTGTGCCAGTAAGTACACATTATTTCTCAACATATATTTAAGCCGTGCTCAGTGGCATACACCCGAAATCCTAGCTACTTAGAAAGCTGAAGCAGGAGGGTTATGACTGAGACCAATATGGGCACCTTATCAAGTCCCTGTTTCTGCTAGGTACCACAGCTCCTGCCTGTGCTCTCCCTGTGCAGTAGGCGGACAGGAGTGTTGCTACAGTTGTTACACTGCCTGTTCACAGGAGCGTGAGCAACTTATCACCAGCTACACCCCTGAAGACAGTGGCTCCCTCTCCTCCCCTGGGTGAGGCTGTGGACCATGAACCCTTCCCCACCTGTGACTAAATGTTTGGAATGATTTGGTTCACTGGTTTGAAACCAGCCTTTTCTACTAATAAATCCCAGGCCAGCCTGGGCCACAAAGTGACACAAAACAAAAACACAAAAACTAAAACCTATCTCAAAGACAAAAAGAAAACATACAAAGGCTTTACCCATCAGTTCTAACAAAATTGAAGAAAGAAATAGCTTTCTGTGTGCATTGCCTTCCAAGCAAAGGCATTCTCTTGCAGTGCTGTCTGTGTGCCTGGAGAGCTCTTGCTGTCTCTAGACACCCACTTACAGACCTCCCTGAACGTGGGGCTGTGGTCAGGCCTTGTCCCATTTGCCTCTTCCACAAATGTTTACCCCTGAAAGCCGGCTGTAGCCACTCTACTGACCTCCCCCTGCAGCACTCTGAACCTTTTCAGTAGAAATACTATCCTTATTGTTGTTGGCTGAACCACCTTTCAGACAGACAGACAGACAGACAGACAGACATGCAGAGAGTGAAATGTGAGGGAGTGTCAGTTTCAGAACACCACATGGATGCCAAAGCCCAAATCTCCTAAATCCATTTGGTAAAATGGTGTAGGACTGGACATAACACGTCTTCCCGTAGGGTGTGTACTCTAGAGCAGGTCTGCAGCTCCCACCCTACCCAACGCTCTGCTGCTGTGAATGCTGGGAAAGAGAAGTGTCTGCGTGTGTCCGCACAGACAGAGCTTCTTTTCAAGGCTTTTTAGCCGTGGTTGGCAGACCTCACTGATGTAGAGCCTGCACCCTCAGAGGACCAGTATGAATTTTAATGTTACAACTCACATCCGAGGAAGTCCCTCAGGGCCCAGTGTCTCACAGCAGACTGAAGCAGGGCTGAGGCCCTAAAGCACATGCCTGACTCCTCTCAACACTGGAACCCCTCTGCAGCCTCCCTGTTCCTGTCAGGAGGGGAAGAGCAGGATGGACTAGGAGCAGGGCTGATGTCAGGGCTTGCTGCTTCAGTCAGGACTTTTCCCTTACCCTGTTAGGTGGGTGGCCCTCTAAATGGCATTGGCAGACAGTACTCTTTACCCTGCCCTGCCGGCCTCCGTGCCCACAGGCCACTTCTCCACCGTCCACATATTTCATCCTTGTTTGTTTGATTGTTTGTTTGTTGAAACCGAGTCTTACTACATAGCCCTGGCTGTCCTGAAACTCATTATGAAGACCAGGCTGACCTCAAATTCAAGAGATCTGCCTGCCTCTCCTCCCGAGCTCTGGGAGTGCACATGTGCATCACCACACCCAGCCTTCATCCTTAACTCTCTAAGGCAGCCAGTGCCCTTCCCAAGGCCTAGCCCCACAGGCAGTGTCACAGGTACAGGAGCCTCGGGAGGAGGCTGTTTGAGTGCTTTCTTCAGATCTACTGGAAAATCTGTTTTTGTTTGACAGATCTCATCGTGTTCCTGCTTCAGGAGACCTTAGGGACTGTCGTCAGTCTGGGACTTCTGGGGAAATCTGGACCATTTTCTATGAACCTTCCACTACAATCTCCATCTTTAAGAAGAAGCTCAAGGGTCAGAGTCAACAAGATGACCGTAATCCCCTTGTGAGTGACTGAAGCCCGGCCACACCTGGATGGGAGACTCCACTCTAAGCTCAGGCTTGCTGGGGCCCTTTCCTCTGAGAACTCCCCTGCCCCTCCACTCACCTCCATCTCTTTGGGGCGCCCTGCTGCAGAGGCAGTACAGCCTGGAGCCCTCCATCACCTACAGCCTGGCTGCCCTGCAACTGTCTCCACTGGGGATGTTAAGACCAGGCTGGGCTGAGAGGACACAGCTGGGCCTCATTCTAGAAGACTCGTGGTGGTGGGTAGGTGTAGTGTATGATGAGTTTTCTTGCTTCTTCTCTATTCTGTCCACATACAACTTAGTTTCCCCTGATCTTTACAGTTTGGAACAGAGCCAGATGGAAAGAATTCTCAGGTTTTCTTAAAGGTTGGCCTGGTTCCCCACCAAGTGTGTTCTCAGGGGCATTAGCACCCCAGAGGCCCGGTCTAGCCTTGGAGCTTTCTCTGGTGCTAAGATGTGTCATCTAGTCTGAGGGGACTGAGAACAGGGCCACAGGAGATGTTTTCTTTCTAAAGGGTTCTTTTCAATACCCACTGACCTATGGGGCAAGCCTGAGGATTGGTCCATCTGTTTGTCCATGGAACAGGCACAGTGAACTTCTTGTATACTAGACTTAACTCACCAGGCCCTCAAGTAGTTCCCAATCCTGTGGAATCTGAATTCAGCCTGTCTTTCTGTCCTCAGCCAAATCTTACTTCAAAATCAGGAGTTTAAAGACAGGCTGTAGCATGGAGCTGGGGCAGTAGCTCAGTGGTAGAGAGCTTGCCTTGCGTACATCAGGCCCTAGGTTCTATCCCAGGACTTCCAGAAAGGGGGCGGAGAAAGAGCATGCGGGCAGCATCTGTGGTTCCTACATGAGGCGTCTATTATTTTAAAAGAAGATCAAAACTACCGAGAGCTTTGTCCTTTGTCCCTTATCATGGGCACAGAATAGTTAGGAGTAAGGGCTCTTGTCTTGCCACATTGTCCCTTAGACAGGGAGGCAGATGACAGCAGTTGGCAGGAAAAGGCCAGGCTTGGGAACTGGAGATCCCCCCAGGAGAGGCTGAAAGACTGAGAGCCCCAGCTGCAGCTCTGAGAGGAACTTCCCTGATTGAGAAGGCCTTCAGTCTGGAGTGGCCTTTGTCAGCAGCAGCCGAGAGGAACAGCCTGTGCCCTAAAAGTGGACCTTGGTCACTGTCCTGCCAGCCCTTGAGCCTCTGCTCTCCTGGAACCCCATGCTCACCTCCCCTGAGTCTCAGCCACTGCCACTGAGGCCTTTCGTAGGGTTTGAGCATCTCATCTGCAGCTGCTGCCCCCCAGGACTATATGGGACCATCTGGGAATCATCCTCAAGGAGAGGCAGCACGAGTACAGGCAAGGCAGTGACCAGAGTTGATGGGTAGAGAGGCAACTGGAGGAGGAACACTCTATCTCTACAGTGGGCTGGGGTGCTGGCCCAGCTCTTATGAGAGGCCTGCAGGAGTACAGAGCTACTGGGGGTCATCTTCTCACTTTGATCTGGGAAAGGCTACAGGCTCCTGGGTGTGAAGACAGGCCCACCACATACGAAGAGCACTGGAAATAGACTGACAGGAGCAGGTTCCACTCCAGGCTGTCCATACCATTTGCAGGCTCTCCCCTGAGAACAAGAGTGCCATGTGCATAGTACATAGAGGATGTGGGTTCTTTCCCCGGGAAGGCTTGCTGGCCAGGACATTTGTTCAGCTCATATCGCTGGCTCCTGGCTTCCTCTCGGACACCGCTCACCTGCTTCTTCATATCTGAGACACAGGAAGCCAAGCCCCAGTGTGGTGGCAGCTGCAGCTCAGCAGCCCTGTATTGGTGTCCCCAGGAAGGGCAATGGATGTGCCCACGCTCTTCTTGCTGCTGGCCTGGCCCAGCCCAGCCCTGCAGGATCCACTTCCTCTTGGAGGCTGGGGGGCACCCAAGGAAAATCAGCCCACATCCAACAACAGCAGGGGACAGTGGGAAGGGCTGTAAATCATCCAGGCCAGACTTCAGAAATGATAGTCACAGTCTGTTAGAACCTGTAGACAGCCAGTCACAGAGGGCCTTTGTGCTGGTAAACACCCGCCTGGAGCCAGGCGCAGAGGTAAACCTGAGGGAGAAGAGCAGCTCAGAAGAGACTGCTTGACCCTCAGAGACATAGCTGGAGGCATAGGTGCTCTGTGCTCTTCCCTTCCTGTCTCACTGCTTACAAAGCAGAGACAGAGTGGGAAAGAAGCCTGTGTCCTCTCCCACATCGGCAAGGATGGGGCTGAGGCCACCTAAAGTGAGCAAGGAGCCCAGACCTTCAAAATGTGGGCTCTGGCTTCAGACTCCTCAGCCAAAAGCTCTCGAAGATCAAAGCTCTGGCGGGTACAGCTGTCCTGGCCTCGGGGCCAGCCCATGGGATGTGCCTGGGCCAGGTGCCACCCCATGCCTCACTGTCATCCCAGCGGGACCCCACCTGATGCTCCTCCTCAGCCTGTTGCCAAGGACAGTCCACACTTGACCTTCAGAGCACTTAGAAGTGGATGGCCTCCCAGACTCTGTCAGCCTCTCTGCTGGGCCACACAGGTCTCCCAGGCCAGCTCCTCACTCCACAAGCTGCCATGGTTACCTGGCTCTGTGTCTGGAATCTCCTGCTTGGTGTTTGAGGTCTGCTTTGCGTACTACCCTGGGAACTGTTAACCTCCGATTGGTCCCTTTGTGTCTTTGTTTACTGTCCTCTTCTACCTCCAGGCTACTCTCAACCTAGCTGCTCTGGCTGAGGGTGGGGGGACCTGCCAGCTGCACCCCACCCTGGTCTGCCAACAGAACCTGGAGACCTCACACAGGCTCCTGTCTTGCCAAGCTGGAGCTGAGCACACTGGCCGAGGCTGAGTGGGGCAGGGCGGACAAGTGGGAGGACAGTCTCTCATGTCAGAGGGTGTGTCCGAAGGAATACACAGAGGAATCCTTTCTAGCCAGCACAGGGAGCTGCCATCCTGCCACCTTCATGGCACCAAGACCTTCCCGTTTCCAATCTCACCCTCCAGCAGGGATATGATTTTGGATGACAAGGCTTTATTTGTAAATACGCTTTTAATATGCAACTTTGAGAATAAAATAGAAACATCATGTATTTTAAAATATAAAATGAAGTGTGACACTGTATACAATTTAATATATATTTTTAGGATTTTGTTATTTAAGAAAATGGAATGTGATGGTACTTTTACAAAAGAGAGAAAAATATTATTTTTACTGTTTGAAGAAAATAAATATTCTCATTGTTGTAGAAACTGTGGTGGGGCCTAGGCTGTCATTTTTCCAGGGTACCCTAAGAGTCGGGCCCCACAGGACAGAACGGAGTGCTGGAGCGCTTCACCCTCCCAGGCACCGGGCTTGGCATTGGCCGCCTTTCTCCTGCTGTCTCTGGGTCTTGTCATTGCTTGGCCACAGCTGAGGCAGAGCTGGCAAGCTCTGAACACCAGGACTCCAGATCAGCTCCACATGCAATATGGTAGCCTCAGCTAATCACTGTGGTACCCAGCCTTTGCTTCCCGCCCTGGAACAGCGGTCACCCCAGATGATGGAGCCCTGATGGAGAGACAGTGCAAACATCCCAGGAAGAACTGAGCCAGCCTCCCAGAGTAACATGTACCTCTCTGTCCCCATTCTCTCTGTTGTTGGTTATTGTTTTTGTTTTGTTTTGTTCTTTGTGATAAGGTCTTCCTCTGATCTGCTGCCCAAGTTGGCCTCAAACTCTTGGGTTGAAACATTCCTCCCCTCTCAGCCTCCCCAGTCACTGCGCTACCAAGTCCTTTTCAACCCTCTCCTTAAGTAAGCAATGCTTTATCAGGGTCCCTATTGCGCCAACAAGGAAGATGTCTCAGCGAGGCAGCGTGGGTTGGTAGTCAGAACATAGACCTGTAGTTAGCTGGCCAGCGTTCTGATTCTTCTATCCTTCAGCTTGAGGTCAGCAAGAGTAAACCAGGAGGACTTCAAAGAGTTCCAGTGGGGACTGACATTTGAAAACTCAGATCAGGGTGAGGAGACCAAAGGACCAGACCAGTGAGAAGCACTGGAGGTACATGGGTCCAGCCAGGCAAGAGATTCCAGGGCCTGGGCATGCCCCAAACCAGCACCATGGAAGGAAAGGTTGGCCATGCCCATAGGTCTGGCATGTGCTTGGACCTGAGTGCTCAGGTTACATTCAAACCTCTCAGCATGGGACTTCTGTGCCTGTTTGATACTAACACAGGCAGGTGTGGTCCATTGGATTGCTGCAAATCATTCGCTAAATGGTAACTGTTGTTCTTATTCCAGAATACATCCAAGGGTTTATTAAAAAAAGATCTAGGTTTGATATCTGGGTGGGGACAAGGGCCACTCTGGCAAGGAACTAAGTCACAGGTATCGTAAAACTCAGATGAGTTCCAATTCAAACTCAGATGGGCACCAATTCCAGTGATGTCAGTGTGGGCCATCAAGGCAGAGCTGTCTGACATATGACTGCGGTCTGAAGAGTCCCTTCCATACTAACATCCTAATATCCTTGGGGTGAGTGTAGAAGGTGGCCCCAGAAAGCTTCCAGGACAGTGCTGAGCTGCCGAGGCGGGAGAAAGAATTACATAAAGGTCTAAGATAGGGCAGAGCTTCCCCAGAAGCCATGGAACCTAGCAACCAAGCAGCCTGACTGGCTAGGTACATTCTCCCCCACGGCCTGCTGCTCCTTTGAGTCCCAATTCCAGATTCTCAGGGGTTGGTTGGTTGAGTCTCAACTCAGCTAGATTTTCTTGGGGAATAGGCCAGTTCAGTCAAAGAATTGCACCAACACCTGAGATTCGCATGGTCCTGAGCCCAGACCCAGACCTCCCATTATCAGGTTCTCCTGAGAAGCACCCGCCATGTCTGACCACCACTTCATCCACATGGGAACTTTGACTGCAGTCAGTTCTGGAAGGAATCACCCACACAGCCATCTGTGCGAGTTATAGACCACTTTGTCTACCAACAGAACAGGGTTAGTGGCTACTCAACTGCAAAGACTTCCAGCCCCAGATGTGTCACATGACAGGAGTGAGGCACACACCACACCAAGGACATGTGTGCAGCACAGCAGGCAGCCCAAAGGCTTCTCCAGAATCTGCCCCCTCCCCAATTCTGTCCCCATGGGGACACTGCTTCCACTCTTGTGACCACACCACGAAAGGCCAGTTCTGCTGGAAAGATAAACAATCTTTCCAAGCTTCCCTCTGTTTTCTGAGAACTGCTGTCCTTCCATGTTGGAGAATATCTGTAATGGCAGGAAATGGCTGGTGAGAACAGATGGAGAGGCTTTGCTGGTAGATTTCAGACAACCCCAGCAGTGACAGAAAAATAAATAAACAAGCCCAGAATACGCAACTGCCCTGCCCAGAGAACACATTTGGGATTATGAGATGGCAGGAAGAGACCAGCAAACCCATTTGAATGGATTTTGGGGCCACCTGACCTTGACCTGGTGTGTTACACATCCCCACAGCCTCTGATGCATCACCAGGGGAGCTCTGGTCTCATCCTTTGTCTTGCAGAAAAAGGCTCTTCCGGTGCAGGGGAAACGCTGGACAAAGGTGACCTTGTCTCCAAACTTGGGAATCACATGGCCATGTCCTCTCCCAAGTGGGCCATGTGTGTTGAAACTGTAGGCAGACTCTGGAGCTCAGAGAACTGAGAAGGCTTTGTTCCTCCGTGGCCACATTGGGTCCCTACAGGAGTATGGTTTTGCTCAGCTGAAGGGGACACTTTGAGGATAGAATATGTCAGCTATAGAATACATCAGCTTCAAGCACAGCAGCACTTGCCTGCAGCTACAAGTCTTCATTTCTGGTCTCCAGCTGCTCTTAGAGCTACCAGGCCCCCACTGAATAGGCCAACACCTGCCACTGAGAACACTGTGGACAGTGAACTGGACATAGAGACCCATCTCTGGGACAGACAGCTGCAAGGACACTCAGGGAAATGGACCTGTCAGCTCTATGGGAGCAGGGTTGGGAGCGGGGAGTTCAGTAGGAAGGACTTTAGGAGGAAAGGAGATTGGAGACTGAAGGTCCTCGGGAGAACATAGGAAGGTCTAAATTACACAGGCTTTCACAGGGGCAACGCTACAGAACCCTCTTCGCGCATGCCCAGGAGTAGAGCAGCTACCACCATTCATTCTGGCCACTAAACGCAGCATGTAATACCTTAAGTGGTAGAAGCAGCAAGGGCCATTCAGACCTCTGATTTAGCCAAAGGCAGGAGCAGCTTTTTAAGAGCCTGTGTGAGCTGAGGGAAGCTTCTGGATGTGCTGGTCTAATCACAACAGTACCGATGGCTACCGTTCTCCACGGTACTTACTGTGAGTCCAGTGTCATGCCACTCACTTCACAGACCACTGGATCTGCCTTATTTTGTTTGTTTGCTTGACATTTTGTCACTGGTCAAGGTGACCTACAGGCTTAGAGTCTTTAAAAGGCACCAAGGTTCTTAGGTCAAACCTGACAAAAGCACACAAAACAAAAAATGCCCTTCAAGCCAAAGTCTCCCAGCCACTAGAACACCACTTTCTGCTGACAAGTGTCCCTTGAAGTCTGAGGTGTGATGCCAAAGATCATGCATCCTACCTTGCAACTGTAGAAGGCAGCTGTCATTTTTCTTCAATCCTTATAGGAACTTTTCCTTTTTTTAAAGAGAAGTCAGCCTTCTCATGTAAGGCTGACTGAGTTGGCTGCTTTGAGGGAGAGACTGAATCCACACAGCAGCAACAGGAACAGCAGTGGTGGTGGCAGCCACAGGACAGATGAGTCAGCCAAGAAGGCTTGGACCTTTTCAGCAAGTAGGAAAAGTGTCCTTGGTGGCAACAAAGCCAGGACCCAACTGATGGTAGAATATGGTCTGAGGCAGTGATTGGCTCTGCAAGCACAGGCACTGTTGTATACAGGCTCCAGGAAGTGAGTGCAGAGTCTGCCCTGAGGTGTCAAACACCTGCTGGGTGATCAGCCCAAAAGAGAAAGAGGAGATCTTTGCAGAATTCGGGATGCGGATGCCGTTTCTCTAGTGGCTCCCACTTTGTTCACCCCTGGTCTTTGCCAGCCTCACATCTTTGAATTTCAGTGGTACTTTGGAGGAATACCACCAATTTTAGTGGTGATCCCTAAAGTAAGGAGAAGAAAGGGGCCTTCTTAGGCCCCAAATCAGTATCCTGGGGGTGGCACAGTGACCTAGCTTGGGGTGATGACATCATCATGGCAGTGGCCAGCACCTTATTGGCCAGCAGCAAGTCTCAGAGTGAACACAAGCACATGTCTCTGGGTATGCCGCAGGTTTCTCCAGAGCTAACTTGGATTCCAGATGTTCCCGATGGCCTTGTGCATCATGGCATTCTTACCCATCGGTACCACAGCCTTCCCTGGAAGGGACGTGTGGGTCTGCAGATTCACCTGGAGCCCAAGCTGTCTGCTCCCACACTGAAGTGTTGAGAGATGTCATCCAAAAGTTCAATGATATTAAGGAGGTAGATGGGCTTCCAGGTTGCCTTGTCTTCCTTGGGCAGTGCCTTTAAACCCACAGTGTTACTTTAACGAGGATACCTGACGAGAACCTGGAGATTCTTACCTGGTACAAAGCCCTGGTTGCACAAGCAGAACAAGAGGAAAACACATCAGTCTTACAGAATTTTGTGCAGCAGCCCAGCAATCTTAAGAAGGGGTCAAGCAGTGGAAGTCGCGGCCAGGATTCAGCACCCAGCCAAGGTCCACTAGCGCCAGAACTGGAGCACCTCCTCCTGAAGTACCACAGTCCTCCAGCCCCCGCTGAGGAGAGGAGTCCCGAGTAGCTCGGCATCATAGATATCTCCAGACAGTTCAGGAAGAGCGTGGACACATTTGCCTGAGACAAACAAGTAATCTAACCTAGACCCCTTCCTCAGTTTGAGGACATGCATTCCCTTAAGAATCAGATAGGGGCGGTGGGGCTGGAGAGATGGCCCAGCAGATAAGAGCACTGGTTTGCTCCTGCAGAGGACCTGGCATCCTCATCTGTAACTTTAGCTCCAAGACACATGTGTGTACACATGTGCTACACAACATACATGCAAACAAAACACCCATATAAAAAAGTGTTTTGTTTTTGTTTTTTTAAGAATCAGATGGATGTGTACAGTTCCTTTCCCATCCACAGAACTTTGCGTGACAACCCTGGAGGTACAGACATCAGGAAGCCCTTCCATAGACTTGTGATTTATCTCTTCAGTAAATCCTGACAAATGGGATAACAGTGA